GGGTGGAGCTAGAAGTGTGGAATGAGTCAGCCTGCATCCCCGGTCCCAGCACATGCAGAATCTGCACTAGATATCCAAGGAGCCAAAACCAGATATCAAAGCTAGAAACTCAGCACAAGGGGGCAGCGAGTTAGAGACAGGAGAAGCACACTCTCAGGTAAGGGAATGAACAGGAGTTGGCAGAGGGCAGGAGATGATGAATCATAACAATAGCTTCGATGGTCATTTAGCCACTCATGCCGCAGCAGCACTTTAGTTAGCTCCACTGGCTTCCTAAAAGCCCAGGAAGTAGATACTGTTTACTCCACAATACAGTCAAGAAGCCAATGTTAAGAGGAAGTACCTGGCTTTCAGCATGGTAGTGAGTTGTAAAGCTGTGGTGTGAACTTGGATGCATCTGCTACCCCACTCAAGTTCCCTGTACCGCTGGGCTAGATGGGAACATGCAGTGAAGCCCTTGGTAGCCTGGACTATCTGGAGGTTAACCCCACTGTAAGAATTTGAGCAACTGACCAGATGGTTGACCCAGCTGCAGCTTTCTGTCCATCCACTTTATGTATGTTAGAGTTTTGAATGCCTGGGAACAACGTGGAAATGGCTTTGTTAAATGTGCAGGGTTAAGTACAAATCTGGTCCTGAGTGTAAAATACATCCTTGAACAAAGTTCACATCATAATATTTCCAGCAGTGCTGTTTGAAATGTTTTCCCTACTTTGAAAAGAACTATAAAGTTATTTTTATTTCTTTATAATTAAAAAAATTACAATGTAGAAATGCACCCAAGAAAAAAATCTAGGGCATGAGGGAAATAGTCTTCTTCACACATCCCTTTGGCCAGAAATACACTGAGTTCCACCTTCCTGTTTCTCTTGAAGGAATCTGGGACCATGACTTCTGGAGATTGACTCAGGTTCTGTCAACTCAGTATGGCCAATCCTGCCCAACAAAACACACTATCCTACCACAAGAAGCAAAGGAGCCCAACTGTAGATGCTAAGAAGAGATACAGGGGAGGTGATGGTGCACATTTTTAATACCAGCATTTCTGCCTTGAGTTCCAATCTTGTCATCCCAGGTGGATATCTGTGAGTTCGAGGCCAGCCTGGTCTATAGAGAGAGTTCCAGGACAGCCGTGGCTATTCAGAGAAACCCTGCCTAGAATACCCTCACCCCTTAAAAAAAAAAGGAAATAAAAACAAAGAAAAGAAAGAAAGAAAGAAAGAAAGAAAGAAAGAAAGAAAGAAAGAAAAAAGAAAGCTTAAAAGAGACCACTAGTTTCTAAACAGAAAGCCACCTTCAAAATCATCCCCAACCAAACAGAATTCTGGGAATGTGAACAATAATTCTAACCAAGATTCTAGGGAAGATCCCCAGTTCTTGGAGAAGAAACGTAGACACAATAGCAAGTATCTTCAGGTGATTTAAAGAGACCAAAAGAGGATTCTGTTTACTCAGAAAACACTCTTATTCCTTCTTTTGTGCATATACCTAATGAGTTCTAATAAACAGGTACTTTTTGAAAGTGTTGCTTGTGTTACAATATACATTCTTACTTTGTCCCAGGCTTATTGAATCAGGCTCTTCAGAGTCTAAGGAACTGTATTTTAAGTACCTTGGCATATTCTTAAGAGTCTCAGCTACACAGAAAACCTTCAAGCCTTACACAGGTGTTTAAATGAAATAAATTATTAGGATGTAATTATCTCTAATATCTTCTAGTGATTTTAATCAATAAGAATGAACACCATGGCTAACAGAGGGTGAACCATTCCTACACATACTCCAAGATTATATAGTTAGATTCAGAGCCATTGTAATGGTCCACTCATCTTCCAGGAAGACAATATATTTGATTTATTTATCTACTTATTTAGTGAGAGAAGAAAGGAGAGGGAACTTTGAGGAATTGGTTCTTTCCTTTGACCTTATTTGGGTTCAAAGCAGGATCCCTCTTGCTTTTGCTATTATGATGCCAACTTCAGGCCAGCTGACCCTAGAGTTTCGGGCTCACTCTCTCCCCTCCCCCTCCCATTTTTTCCTAGGAACCATATCTGCATCTGTTGGCAGCTCTACCTACTTAGGCAAGACATTACTCAACATTTTCTGAGTCCTTTTCATTCACGAGTGTTTAAGGCACCAGTAACATTCCAGGGACTCAACACTATCCCAGTCGTTCTAATGTACATGAAACCCTTGCTTCCCTCAGCCTTGCTCTGAAAAACATGCTTCTTTGTTGCATCCTCTTCTCATTTCCTTCTGCCTTATATGCTAAAGATGATTGCCCCCATGTGTGTGTGTGTATGTGTCAGAGAGATAAAGAGAGACAGAGACAGAGAGAGACAGAGAGACAAAGAGACAGAGATAGAGAGACAGAGAAGTTAGATGTTAGGTTGCTGTTGCTATGCTAAAACATTCTTACTAAAAGCAGTTTGTGTAGGCAGGGACTAATTTGATTCACAGGTCCATCATTAAGGAATGCCAAGGCAGGAACTCAAGGCAGAAGTCTGAATAAAGAAACTGAAGCAGGGACCATGAGGAATGTTGGAATGTTGCTTAGGGGCTCACTTCCAGACTCAGGTTCAGTTATACTTCTTACACAGTCCAGGGCCAGCCACCTAAAAATAGCATTGTCTGCAGAAGGCTGAGCCCACAACAATAAGTAATCAAAACAATGACCCACAGACATGCCAACAGGCCAATCTGTGGGAGGCGATTCCTCAGTTGAGGGTCCTTCTTCCCAAGTACTTCTAGGTTTGTGTCAAGTTTACAAAACCTATGACAACAGATGAAGGACTCATTTTGGGTTCATGATTGCAGATAGATTCTGTTCACTATAGTGGGGAAGGCATGAAAGAGGGGCTTATCGTGGGAGCATGTGGGTGGTAGAGGTTGTCACATGGTAGATAAGGAAGTTGAACACCCAGTAGGAACTGGGGGTTGGGTATAAGCTTCAAAGGCTTGCCTCCAATGACCAACCTCTACTATTTAGGCATCGTCTTAAGAAGTTCCCAGAGCCTTTCTGAACAGCACTATCAGCTAGAGATGAAGCATATCAGCCTGTGGGGAACAGATGGGAAGAGTGATTTACAAAACCCCTTTTCAGGTAGTATCCCCTCCACACAATTCTCAATTAGGGATCGTTATTAGAGTTCAGTAACACACACACATGGACACACACAGAGTAGTAAAACAAGGACTTGAACCCAGGTTCCAGTCTGTCACAGTTCTGTTGTCCCCAACATATGCATAAGTTACACAAAGGGCTCTATGTAGTCTCCCCCACTGAATTAACAAGCACCAGGGAGGCATCAGTGTAGTGGATTAGTCTTTGAGGAATGCATGGAGCCCATGGGTGTCCTCAAGCTTAGGGAGAAATGGGATGAGATCAACTGTGACACACTTTTGCTTCTCAGGCATTTTGAATCACTTAGGTCCCAGCTGCCTAATGACATAAAAGTAAACATATCTTTTATTTTGGATGTCTTTTTAAGTCAAGGTCTTCTGTAGCTCAAGCCGACCTCAAACTCACTCTGCTGGCTAGCATTTTTTTTTGTCAAATTGACACAAGCTACAGTCATCTGAGGAGAGGGATTGTCAACTGAGAAAATGCCTCCATCAGATTGCCCTGTAGGCAAGCCTGTGGGTTATTTTTGTGATTGATGATTCGTGTAGGAGGACTCAGCCCACTGTGGATGGAGCCACCCCAGGCAGGTAGTCCAGGACTATGTCATCTCCCAAGTACTGGGATGACAGGTGTGGGCCAGCATGCCTAGCTGAAATGTGAACATATCTTAACAAGAACTGGCTGAACACCAATCACAAACTTTCCTTACCTCAGGGAATGAGTTAATCCATTTCACATGTACACAAGTCCTGCTGTGTAACCAGTTTCTATCATTCCTCCATATTGCCTGATTTCCTCAATCTACTGATAAGGACTTTGAAAAGTTATGTCTTTGTATAAAGATCACACAGCGGCTTTACAGAGAATGGGGAAAACACTATACAAGAAAATTCTTGTCTATATATACCACGGTGAGCACACACTGGTTCATAATGGATTATTAAATTCATTATTATGTTACAAAGGATTATTGGATTTACTGAAATACAGGGTTCTCAGAGTGGCACCCTACTGCACCTATTCAACCTTGAGCTTTTGTTTATAGATCATCAAATTCAAAAAGTTTCAAGAACTATAGATCAAAGTTTCCCACCAGCATCTAAGAGTCCAACAATAAATAAAAGGTGGTTAACAATTGCTAACATTTATTGAGCTCTCTATATTTTTTATTTCTAATCCTTATAGCAACTCTGCGAGGCAGGTATTCTCATCTTATGGAACAGACAGAAGAGGTACAAGGAGGTTATGTTAATGCCAAAGCAAGCAGGAGAGCCAGGCTTAGAACCTACAAGCATTTGTCTAAAGCCCTTGCCCTTTCCAAAATGCCACACTTACTTTATTGGCATTGCATAAAGAAAAGTGAAAGTCTACAGGAAGATGGAAGGTGGTTTGCCCAAAACATGTGCCAGAGACTCCAAAGTTCCAGCAACCGAATAAAGAAGCAGATTAATGATTATACAACCTGAAAAATTATTTGAAACAAAAGAGAGAATGAGCAAACTGATAGCCACTGACATAGCCCATTTTTTGGAGGCAACTCTGTACCACAGCTTGCAACATTATCAGGCTTTCAGTTCCCATTTCTGTACAAAGATACGCTTGAATAAATCAGGGAAGCTTATTATTAGCATCTTCTAGATACTAATCACAGATCATCTTGGAAAAGCTGTGTGGTCCAAGACTTATCTATTTAAGTCATAGAGTGTGATATGATTTGAGACTGCTCTTCAGAGCTGTTACAGAAACCATGGCCGGTAAGGGATCTCTCTCCTTCACCCAAAGGTTTTTCCCTAGAGAAGGCTTTGCAGGCCACATGCAACACTAGTTACCTCTACCACACATTTAATATTATATAAAATAAATGAAAACAACTGTCTACGTCAAGAATTAATGGAATTTTATTATAGAACAAAATAGAGGAGAAGAGATAGATGTCCTCCGATGGTAAAAATAACAGTTTGTGTTGTGGTCCCGACAGGCTACTCTGATGTTTACAGCCCTGCAAAAGTGCTTTTTCCATTCCACAACAACGCTGGCGATGGCATGAGGCTCGTATGCTGAGTCTCAGCGAATCCATCTGCCTTCTTTGAAGTAGGAAGTCCAAGTTCAGAATAAGACACTGACCCCAGTGCCCTGAAGGCCCCTGCCCAGACACAGCCATGTCTGGTGTAGTCTATTTGGATGGCACCATCACCCGAAATGCATACACCACACAAGGAAAATGCAAAAGCCTTATGAAAAAAATTCAAAGTTTATTGCAAATTGTATTTTGCTTCCCTTCGTTCTTCATTTTTACAAGATTTGTTGATATCCATGATTTTCTCACAGATGTACTTGTTGACTTTGGAGAGTCTCTGTGCAATTTCCGTTTCATCCACCGTTTCTTGTGCTATTCTGTCATACAAACACTCTAGACAAAAGGAAGAGACAGGAAGGTCAAGGATTAATGATGAATTTGAGAACAAGTCTTTTAAGGAGAAGAAAGAGGATATGCCTCCTGACATACTTCCAAATAATGGTTCACATTATCTTACATGGTTATTTAACTAAAGTCCTACCATAAAGTATAGCTAAGCAATATAAATGTATACTTAAAAATAATGGTAAAAGCCAGGTGTGGTAGTCATTAATCCCAGGGCTCAGGAGACAAGGCAGTTGGATCTCTGTGAGTCGGGAGTTCAGCCTGGTCTACATATTGAGTTCAGGCCAGCCAGAGCTACATAGTGAGACCCTGTTTAAAATTATTGATGATGATAAGCCCACCACCCAGATTACCACATTCCTCTAAAACCCCCGGATGCTGAGCTCCCCATTTTACCCATCTTCATAGATGGTAACTACTCTCCTAGTTTTCCTTTTGCTTTTTAAAAATCTCTTAATGTTATCATGTGGGTATATGTCCCTAAACACTTTCTTTCCAGTTCTTGGCTTTTTAAAAAAAGTGTGCATCTGTCTATTGGTTTACTTGCTGATTTTACTCAGTGGGACACACAATATGGTAGTATACAGCTGCACATCACCCAGTGAAGGTCACCCACTTTCACTGATGAGAAGGACTCTACTGTATGACTTTATCCTATATTTAACTGTGCATCTGAATGTCCATGGATACTTGGTTTTACAATTGCCTACAGCCTTGCAATATTTGAGGGTATTTATCCAAGAAACTCTCTAGTTACCAGCACAGGCATGGCAATGCTGAACATTAAGGAGTATGCTACTTAGCGTTACTAGGTGATGCCCGGTACACTATGTTGTGCTGACTGCCATTCCAAGTGGTAATGCATACAGTAAGTACTGGTTGTCCTGTAACTTCAACAGCATTCCACACTATTGCATCCTTAAGACTTCTATGTTTGAAGGAGTCATTCAAACTAGTGACCACTAATGGGGCTTAGGACAGCTACTCTCTGAGAGATCTTATTATTTGCTATGGTGAGGCAGAGCCAGCCTGGACAAGGCCTGGCTAGAGCCTGATTTTTCAGTGGGTTTCCCAGCCTGGAGATTTGATACAAATTATTACCTTAGAAATTCCATATCATTCAGTAGGGCAACAAACTCTAAAGTAGTCTTTATAAAGATGCCAAGAAGTATGTGAGGTAAACATAAGTAAGCCCCTTTCAGTTAATAAAAAATATAATACCCATGTGGGATTGTTACAATTATTTTATATTTATGCTACTATTAATTTCCCAGAGCTTAGTGCAGTCAGTGATAAAGAAGCTTACATACATACATACATACATACATACATACATACATACATACATACGGGGCTGTGGAAATCCTGGGGTGTTTGGCCACGCCCCAGAACCCAGAGACCTAACATGCAGTGGGTCATGTAAGGCACAGGTTAGAGGGCGCGAAAGAGGTCTCCGCCTCAAGATTTACATATTACCTGAAGGCCCTAGCCCCTCCTTTTTCCCCTCTCCCCAATATAAGGGTGCCCCTCCTGGCATTTTGTGGGAGAGCACGCCATCCAGATACAACTAGATACAACTATCAACATGACCAATAAAATCTCCATGTCTTCAATTCCACGTGTAGCCTGGGACGCTGGACTCTCTTTGTGTGTGTGTGTGTGTGGGGAAGCCTTCCCGCCCTCCCTGCTGCAGCTGTCCGCGGGACACTCTCCCTGCTCCAGTGGTCCGCAGAGCACTCTCCCCTACAACAGCGGTCCCTCCTTCGCGGGCTGCCCCGGGGACTCAGGCACGCTGGGTCCCCGCTCTCCCTGTCCCAGCCGTCCACGGGGGATTCCCTCTCTCCTCTGCAACTGAGGTCCCCGGGACGGAGTCAGTCGAGGGGCACAGGCGCTGGAGAGATCAGCTGGGACCGCCTCTGTAGCGTGGCTCTAAGGACTGTCACAGCTGCGACCTGAGTGCGCAGCTGCACCTGCACCCGCGCCCCCGTGTGACTTTTGAACCACACAGACACACATAAAGACTACATAAATATACGTTGAATGAATGAATGAAAGGTTTTCCAGGGAAGTCTGAGAAGATATAAAACTTCTAGATATAACAAGTAGGGAGACAAGTCAGTTGGAAAAGTTCTTGCCTTAAATCAGGAAGACATGAGTCCTATCCCTAGAACTCATACAAAAATAGCCAGGCATGGTGGTGTATGCTTGTAATTCAAGCACTTGGGAGGTAGAGACAAGTGGATTCCTGGGGCTCATTGGCTAGCTAGCCCGGAATAATTGTTGATTCCCAGGCCAGTGAGGAGACCCATCTTAAAAAATAAGGTAAATGGCATCAGAGAAACAAGACTGATCTCTAGCCTATATGTGCACATATGCACACACACACACACACACACACACACACACACACACACACACACACAAGTCCACCCAAATATAACCTAGATATAAAGGGACTTGGTATGGGTAGGGTGTATGGCCATGGGTGATGCTACAACTTCTTTGGTCTTGAGTTTCCTCGTGTAGAAAATGACCTGACAGTCCAACAATAAGAAATCATGATGGATAACCACAGCCTTGTCAACCCACAGAGGTGATACAGGGCTGCAGCTTGTAAGACTAACTTGTACAAAGCCTTCCAATCACATAGGAGAAGCCTGGGGACTAGAGTGAAGGGGCAGTTCGGGTCAGAATCCATTGCTGCTTCCCCACTTCTTGCCTCTCCAAGGATGGGTAGGGCCCACCTCCTCTTGCCATCCATGCTGCAGGAGTGTGTGCCACAAGTATACTTTCTCTGTGTTGCCTCTTCCTCTCCACTGAGAGGAGTTCTACTCAAATGTGCCTTGCCTGGCCTCCATTGCCTCCTGAACACTCTTAGTGTTCAGTTCATCTATCTTCACTTGTCTATAAAGACTGATAAGAAGAGGTACATCAGGGTCTTCTGCTCTGTCTACCTACAATCCCTTCCTTTCAAAGCACCCACAAGCTAAGTGTCCTTGTCCTCTCTTCCCGAAGATCCTGGCTCCAATTATCACCTTCTTAAGTCCTGTTCATTCTCTTGTGCTCATAACTACCCAGCTGAGTGAGGAGGCTGAAGTCTACCTAGCACTCTGTCCCCATGCCTGTGGAGTTTCCTATGCAAGTATACACTGTGATCTGATAAAATACAATCATCCCCCACTTACATCCTGACTTACCTAAGTCAGGACCATATGTACAGTCCAGCAACCTTGCTTGGACCTAATCTAAATCAGGGAGAAGCCTGTCAAGAGATGTTCAGGCGCAAACATGGCTCTAATCCCAGAGGCAACTTGTCTGTATCCAGTGGTGTCTCAAATCACATAACCTAGGAAGTTCTGTCTCTCCAGTGGTCTTCAACACAATAAAAGAAGAGAGAGAAGCAAACAACAGGGGGGGGGGAGCTGTGATAGCCCCCTGAGAAGAGGTGGAAAGAGAAGGGCACACACTGAGAAATGTGTTCAGGAAGGCCCCCACAGAATTCCAATCATCTTCATTTCCTGGGGTAACAGCTCGGAATGGCCCCTCAGGTTGATTAAAAGGCTTTTGTTAGACTCTAACTTATTAATCACCTGCAGTTGCTGGGAATGTGTCCCTCTGCGAGGGAGCATTTGAGATTATTGCTTAATTAACAAGGTTTATAACAGCGCTAATGTGTCCCATTAAAAAAGTTATAAAAATTAACCAGAACGCAATGCTGTGGCTCATTTAGAAAGCTCAGATATGCTGCAAAAAGGTCATTCGACCTTAATAAGATTTAACTGTCACTTTGGAGCTTGTCATCAGAGCAAGGCCTAGCTCTGTCCTCCAGTCTTCATCCTTCCAAAGCAGGGTCAGAGCTTTCCCACAGCTCTGCTCTCTGGTAGGGGACAATTTTAACATCAAAGAGAACATCCCCCAGTGCTATGAGTCTGAAGGCTTCTGTCACTCTTATATGCCCAACATGACAGAGGATGTTCACATCACACAAAATAAATACAAAACAATCCCATTCCTGCCAAACAGCCCGCCCGTGAGGAACCAGCCAAATACAAGCTGGAATCATTCAAATAATTAGGCTAAAAATGGTGACTGTGTGGTGGTGTGGCAAACGTACTTTAAGCCTGTCTTCCTGCAGTGAAAAAGTAAAACATCAATCTTGTATTTCAGTACCAGAGACTTCGCTGACACCTGAAGCCTGACACCCCAGCTTGGCTTGGCTCATTCTGCCCTAGCTAAGGGTCCAGGAATCCTCCAAGAAAAATGAGCTGAGCCAGGTTTTGGGTGCTCTGGGACTCATGGTAGAAGCACTCACTCACACTGAGGTCAAAGAGAATTTCTTGAAGGAGAAGATCTTACACAGATCTGCTGTAAACAGCAGTAGCTGGCCCTACAGGACAGGTACAGAGGCTGTGGTCATTCCAGGCATAAGGAATAATGCTTGCAAATTCCCTGAGGGGAGAGCAAATGAGGCTTCCTCAGTTCATTCTGCTAATAACTAAAAACTACAGCCAGAGATATAGCCAGCAGCCAGACTGAATGTGCCTGTGTAACATGCTAAGAAGTTCACCTTCTAAACACGGGGACTCTGAATCGGCTTGGGTGGGCGGGTGAGTGGTCATTTTAGTTACATAATCAGGAGAACGGTTTGGAGGCTTCAGGAAAGAAAGCATATGGGTAGGCCTGAATTCTGAGAGTAGAGTGGATCTGAAAAGACAGAGGGGCTTAAGAGGTATTTAGAGACAGGAAGGCTGAAGAGGTGGATGTGCGGAAATGGGAGGGAGATGTACCTGCCTGGTTATGATATTCATGAAGAGAGAGCACAGAAGGGTGGAAGGCTGCATGCGAAAGGCCAATACTCTTAAATGCTTACTCTACGGAGGCTGGGAGCAGGATGTTCATAAAGCTGAGCTTCTAATGGAGATGAGGGAGAAGGAGAAGACATGCTGTGTGGAGCCTTTGGCAGGGACAGTGTGGCAGAAAGCAGTGGAGGGAGGCAGGAGGATGACTTGGAGCTTGTGGCCAGCCTGGGCTACAGAATAAGAGCCTGTCTCAAAACAAAAACAAAACAAAAAACAAACAAACAAACAAAAAGCAAAGACAAACAGAAAGCACATAGGTTTCGGCCAAGAAACTTTGTTTTCTTGGATCAGTAAACAGCTACAATGACTGGAGACCGCACTAGGCAGTGAACGGAAAGGCAGCAGCAGCCTCTCAGAATAGAGGCACACACTCAGCAGATCTGTTCATACTGAAACACGATGATGGCTATCTGAGGGTACCCAGGAGCTGCTGCTGAGTTACATTATAGTAAGTGTGACAGAACTGGCAGTTCACCCCTACCAGGAAAAGCAGGGATGCCTTCCCAAGAAAAACCTTTCTCAGGGTGTCCCCTTGAATAAAGCTGCACCATTTCAGACAGCAGCCGCTAAAGGTTACCTGTTACTATCTAAAAATAAGTGGCTGCCTTCTTCATGAAGTTACTATGAAGCTCCACAAAGCTTCACAAATTAATCATGAGCTAGTCAGGTGGGGAGATAGCTGCTGCGTTACATCGGAAACGGCTGCAGACCAGAGTGAGAATGTGTGGGTTTGAATCCAGACTCTGAACCTGCAGAGCTGTGACCTTAGTTTAGCTGTACAATCACTAGCATCTTGCCACCTTGACCTCTAGAACACTCAACATAACGAGTCATTCTCTACTGTCTGTGTTCCAACCTTCATCTCCATGATCTCCCTAGGGGTCTCCCCTCTAACTAATGGCCTCTGGGGCCTGTGCAAACTCAAGCTGCATACTATGGCTTTCACTTCCCTGTAAGATGGGCTGCTACCCACCTCTGACCTCCTTCTTAGCTGTGTAGCCAGCCATTTCTTCCTTGAGCTGCTTTACCTGAGTATGCTGGTCTCTGTACTGTGGTGTACTCTGCCTGACCTACTGTGCCTCTGACTTTCACTGCCTTTCCTGTCTAACTCAGCTGGAATGCCGTATGTTGAAACAGGCCTCCTTCATATCATGTATGAAACTCAGAGAACCTAAAGCTGATGGACTGTGTCTCAGATGTATTTGGCCCCAGAATGTGCTGAACTATAGGACCTGCTCAAACTAGACATTCATCTGACTGATCACTGAGTGAGTCTTAGTTTCTTCATCAAAAAATGGCAGACCTGGCCATTTAGAGAAGAATGATTAGGGACAGACTACAGAGCCATCCTTAGTTTCCTGGCTTTACTCCTGGCTTTCCTATTATAGCCTGGGAAAAAGGATCTACTACTTCTGTGCTTCAGTTTCCTATCTGTGTAAAGGATAACAGCAGCCAGCAGCAGTTCTGTTGCTGGGAGAGCGAGTTAATATACTTCAGAGTGTTTAACACAGACCTCGTTTTAATGTATTGGGATACAACGAGTACTCAGAATGATTAGCAGTTACTACTTCCATTCTGCTCCGTATACTATACTCCTTACTTTGTACTGACTATATAGTACTATTGTTCTTATATTTATTTTGATCATGAGACTGAGTTCCTTGTAAATGAACATGGTGTCTTGTCCCTTGTGTTCTTGACCTCCAGAGGAGAGTCTAGCAAGGGGGTGTGGCCTGAGAGGAAGGAAAAAGAAGAAAGGGGATGAAGGAAGGAACATGGGAGCAGAGAAGCAAGGAAAGAAGGAAGGAGGAGGAGAGGGAAGATGGGTAAGGAATATGGGGTATAGTCATATCTTTGGGTGACAAATGACTCCCTGATTTTCTGTCTGCCTTCTCCAATACCAGAAAGGAAGTTTTGTCATTGGCTCCCCATCTTATCGCCTGCTCTAGAAATGTCTAATAAGAAGTTTCTCCAGCCTCGACCGTTACCACTCTCTAGATACATTCCTTTCCCAGGTACACTCCTCTGTTCAAGATGCTTCTGCCTCCTGAAGTATCTCTCCTCCTCGCTCAGCCCATCTCTGCATCTGATGGGCATCAAAAGGCTCTGTTCAGCAGCCCTTCTCCCTGGGACCCAGCACAACCCTTTTAAATGCTACACCCTCGAGTCATATTTGTGCCACTGTCCACAGTCATTTGTCCTGTCCAGTGTGAGATCTCTAGTGACAGCTTATGATGTCTGTCTCTGTGTTCCTATGTCACACTCAGGGGTTGGTATCCAGGGGCTTCAGTAAGGATTCACCAAAAATTAATTAAATTAAAATACATTTCTGACAGAGTAAAGGACAGGCTGTCCAGCATTGTGTTCCCACTGAGTAAGCTACCTCTGACGATGCTTAGCTTGTGAGGAGAGAGGGGTGGCTTTGGGATTGCATCCTTCTTTTTTTTTGTGGCGACTCCTGTGACACTTCTGTTTTTCAGAACATCTGTTCCCCAGATCATGACTGCCAAGTTCTTCGTGTACTTAGAATCTCCTTGGGTAACTTGTAGCTGGTGCCATTTCTCCTCGTCAACCCAAATCCCGCTTCCCAGATGGACCTGAAAGAGGTAAGAACATCACACCTGTTTAGTCTGACAGGAAGGCAGCTGGAGGCCACTTCTGTCCTTTAAATCACCACTTCTTCAGTGTAAACGATTCGTGCCACAGATGCAGCAACGGCCTCACTCGAAGAATCCCTGTGATGCACCAGGCCTTATTCTAAAGCCCCGACTTCACTGTATTAAACAGAAGGTGCTATGATAGCACTGTCATTTCTGATGGGAAAACTAAGTTCTGTTAGATGAAGTCACTCAATTTTTGAGTGGCAGAGCTGGGATTTTAAACTGTACTCATGTTATTAGATGGCTGCTCTGAGCCTGACCTACCTACACTGAGGACACATGTGTTTATATGAGTTATACTACAGAAAGATCAGCTGCTCTTCCATCTGCAGATTCTGAGGCATACGTCTTGCTCACGCGGTGGAGGTTGCTTGGAGGGCTCACTCAGCTGTAATGACCACCGGTGCCGAGGCCTCCTCCCCAAGATTCTGATATATTTGGTCTGGGTGTGGCCCAGACATCATGATGGTTTAGCTCCCTAGATAGTTCCAATTTAGAGCTAAGTTATAAAACGCCTGCCAGCTGGCAGGAGCAGAGCAGCCGCTGGCTCTGCAGCCAGCAGGAGTGTAACTGTGTGAGCCCTTCCCTAGCTCAAACTGCAGCTTCCTTATTCACGAAGTGGGAGACTTGGATTCCATCTCAAAGTTCATCCTCCTGGCTCAGAACACCTAGGATTTTAAGAAATCAAATACAACCACAATATCTGGTTTGCCTTTGGTAGCACACACACCAGAATACAATCTCGTGCTCCCTAGAGGAGACACGGTAAGGGTGACGGTGAGGGTCAATAAATCACACTACCCTCTCTGCTTCCAGAATGTTTAGCAATGAGCTACAACTTTAAAATTTGTCTGTTTTTGGCCATTGACAACTTGCAAAATAATACTCATGTTCATCATTAAAATTTTTTTTTTGACCTTGATATTGCCACTCAAGTAGAGTTTCTGCTGCCATTCTAGAAGGCAGAGATGGTCTCTGTGGGATGGAGACGAGGAGCCTGCTAATGAGCTGACCTTTCCAAGGGGTGTTTAAGAAGGCTCTGACAAAAGCTCTTGCTTTCATAAAGACCTGCTGATCATCACCAAGGCATGGTCAGGGGACATCTTGACGAATGCCTTGGTCTGAGATGGTGCACACGTGTGTGTACACACACACACACACACACTCACAAGTGCTCATATGCACACACAAATTAATGGCAGAATGTAAGAACTCAAGCTCAAGAAATGATTAAAGGCCCTTCTACCAAAGATTGGCTTGGGAAGAAAGGGCAGCCAGGCCAGCCAGGAATACTTGCTTCATCAATTATTGAGGTTTTCTAACTATGAAAACAAAACAACCAGGCAATTCACTTTCATTGCTAAGAATATTCTACATGTTACATCTAGCTTCACCTTCTTTTGCTTAAAAGATCATTCAGCCCACTGTGGGAGGCCAGATAACCAGACTCACCTAGCCTCTCTGTGCTGAGCACTTCAGTACTGTAAATCAGTTTGTTCTGCTCAGAAGGATAAGCAGTCCTGGGGTGAGATGTTCTGCCCAGGACTGGCTTAGTAACCAGAGCCCAAGGTCAAATTTGGCCTTCTGCCCTGTTCACTTCTGAACTGCAGGTGGGCAGTCTGAGCCAGGTGCAAGGCATGCTGAGTACAGGATCTCCGATGGACCTGTGTCCCTCGCTTGATAACATAGTCACACAAACTTCCTGAGTTGGGAGAGAGACAAGGGACTTTGCTCTAGACTAGATTCTGAAAGAGGAAATAAAGACATATGCAGCAATTCTCCTGCATCAGCTTTTTGACCGCTGGGACCATAAGCCTGCACTACACCATCTGGCTTAATTTATTACTCAAGGGGAAAGATGAAGCCATATAATCCAGTGTTCTAGAAGGAAAAAAGGAGCCATATTTTTGAGTTCCTATAATGAACTCAACTTCCTTAATGCTCATAAGAGTAAGAAGCAGGTAGAAACTGCTGTTAACATTTTACACACATGGGCACAAATTTGGGGGACTACATTATTTTCCCCAAGACATACAATCAGCCCATTTAAAAATCAAAATTCAGCCCCAAATCTGTGTAGCCTAGTTCATGCTGTCCTGGCTTGCCCTGATGTAGCCTGAATGTCAAAGGGGGTGGGGATGGGACGCTGATGTGGTTGAAAAGTGCACACCTAACACAGCGATTCTCCATTATTATAGGTTTCCTTTTGAGTCTTCTGCACCTGCAGGCCACATCCTGTGCTAGTTCCCAGTACAGTATTCCACAGGCAGATGGAAACTGGATAAAGCCTGTCTGACTGGCTTTCTTGCCAGTGGCTGCTCCGTCTGCCCAGCTCACCCTGTAATCACTGACATCCGCTTTCCTCCTTTGACTAGATGATCTCAGCAGCTCAGCAGTCTCCAATTCTGTTTCCATGCCAAGACAACCTTTTGGAATTTTGAATGGCTTCCTATTTCTTATCACATTAGACCTGACCTCCTTGGCCTGGCTCCATTCAATCACTAAAACACTAAGTCCATTCCTCTATAAAGGCTCTGAACATACCTGCCTCCTTCTTCCATTGTGGAACAGGAGGAGGATGGACTCTGAGCTGTCAGCCTTGTGTGTGGATCCTGTCTCTTCTGTCAGCGTTAACATAGGCCAGTCACGTCACCAGACTTCTCTGAGTTTCACTTTCCTCAACCACACAGACCACCCTCCGTCTCACAGAGGGGTAATCCGGTTCTAAATGAGATGGACTGAATGTGAGAATATACAGCTGAGGCTGCTATGTCTTCACCCCTTCTTTTCCTATCAGCATCCCTGCCCTTACATTCCTCTGGTCAGAGAAGAAAGGGATGTCCTGAGGATGACAGATTCATGTCATCTTAAGCTACACAGCTTGCTACACACAGGCCACGGTCCAGGAAATGTTGCTTAACTGCTACAGGGATGTTACAGCCCTTGTAAAGTACCAGCTTACCTACAGACATTTACTTCCTGACTCAGTCCCACCTGGCCCGGCACATTCTAGTCGGGAGAGGTCAAGGCTCTCCCCCTTCTGCCTCCTGCAGAGTGATCAAGACCAGTCTAAACTCAAAGCAATAGTAGACATATGGGCATATTTAATATATCTTTGTGGCTTTGGTTTCACCCCTGATGAGCAGCTCTTCCTAAAGAGAACACAATATTTTCTGGCATCCACCTGAGTTCAATGCCAGTGCCATAGAATAGACAGAAACAGTCCTTTGGCCTCAGGAAGATCCATCACAGGTCGATGCTGAGTAACTGAGACAAGGCTTGCTGAGCTCAGCACATTCATGGCTACAGAGTGTAATGTGTAGTTCCCAGGGGCACAGCAAGACAGACTGAGCCCTAGTCTAGGAACTAGGGGGTCTGGCTTTCAGTTCCCACGTGTCTCTAACCTGTCACATGGAGTAGATGATTTCGTGCTCTGAGTACATTTTCAAGATTTGTTACTTAGCACATAAGTATAAGTTAGACTGTTTAATGGTCTTTGCAGTTGTGTAATTCAGTGAGTTTTTTTTTTTTAATAAAAACCTTCTTAGATAAGCAACAGACTTCATCAGAAAGTGATCCATGTGGCAACAAGACCCAGTCATGCAAACCATGGTAACATTTGATCAAAGTGTTAGCTTTCCTTATCAGGGAGGTTATAAAAACATGACATCTGGTAGGATGGACTTCGAAAACTACTTTGTGAAGTATTTTATAGAATAAAACTCATTTCTAGTAACAAATGGATCAGATTCCAGTGTTTCAGGCCTTGCAGAGATTGGGTCTTCTGCTCACACAGGAGAAGGAAGGGTCAGGTGAGACAACAGAGCGAGGAACAATAAATGCAATGATTAAGATTAGCAAGTAGCACCTACTGCCCGGAGGAGCCACTGTGCATTTCCAGGGTCTGCTTCCTTTCCTTCCTGTCACAGTCCTTTGACTGACTTGACTGACTACAAATTAGTCTCGAAGAAAAGCTGGGTGAGGTTTAGAGCGGTGACTGGGAGAAAGCAAAAGAGGTTTTGCTTAATGTGTGTGTTTAAAATTAAATAAGGTTTCGGAGACCTATTTTCTTGAGAAAGAATGCTACTTTTGTAGCAGAGCTCAGAAAGCTGCCTGGCAGCCTTCAAAGCAAGAGAGAAACAGATTTCTCTTGGAAGCTACTTAAGAAAAATTCTTCAATCACCCTACAATGTGGTTCTGACTAAAAGGAATTCAAGAGACTCAGAATGGTTCTGCCATTCTAGCTTCAATCTGGGAGGTTAACAAACTTAGATACACATTTCTACTCCAAAACGGCCTATGGAAAACATCCATCCAGTCTGCTTCTCACTCAGAGGTCCAGGAAGGCCAAGAATTGGCCTGATGTCACACAGGAAGCACAGAAGTAGGGCTGTTCTATGAGCTAAGGCTCAGGCTTCCAACCTCCACTCCTCTGCAAAGCTTACTGGGAAAGCCTGCTGAGTGAATGAAAACAAGGCCTACACCCTGCCTCATCAAGTCCTGGCCCTGCACAGAAGGAGGCACTCCGTAAGAGATGCGGAGAATAGCAGCACATCCAAGAAAGCCCTGGAGATATAAACACGTTTCTTTTTCTCATCTAGATAATATTTTCTTAGGTTCAGGCTGGACAACTGTGGGATGTATCTAAACAAAGCAAGTCAAAGAACCTTTTCTTTTCACTAGGAAATGATATCAGAGACCACCCAAAGCATGAGGCAAGATAAATAAGCTGACACAGATAACTCGAAGTGCCAAGGAGAGGTGAGTCTGAAACGTGTGTGGTAGTGGCAGAGAGTCTAACACTAAAGCTGGATGCTTCCTGGACAAAGGGCTCTGACAGACTTCTTACCATGAGGGCTTATGTGTTCTTCCATGATCTGTTTTCAGGAGTCATGAGAGAAAATATGAAGAGTGATATGTATCCCTGGAGTTGTAGGCCAGTGAGTTAGAGATAAAGAGTATGGCTCATTCACCCCTCTATCCCCAGGACAGAGCTGAGAGCTGGGAACATCTACTTTCAAAATGGTGAATGAACATATACCGAGTTACTAACTATAACCTATTACACTCTAGGTATCTGATTTCATAGGAAGTAAGGAAGAATATCAAACTATCAAGTGAATTCCTTTTGAAAAAAAAATCCTTCTCATAAATAAGCCATTATTTATTCAGTTATTTTGATTCAATATTGTTTTAGAAGAGGAACAAGGAGAAGTCCCAGGGAACCTATGCTACTATGCAATAAATTCCACAGTCACCGGGGCTAGGCTGGGAGGCTGGCTAGCCACATGGGGTTTCAGAAGTCCCCACTGTGCTCTCCACCTTTCCTCTGACTAGCAAGCACTTGGGGAAACGGATATTGAGCTGAAAACACTACCTTGCCATTGTCTAGGATATACTTGTCCATGACAGGCGCAGGAGCGGGGTAATAGGACGACGTATTTGCTTCCTCACTGAAAGTGCTCCGTAACTCCGGCTCGGGCTCGAGACATTCTGACTTTACTTTTTCCAAGTCAATGGCGGGACCTAGGCAGTTAAGAAAAGAGATCTGTCTAGAACTCCAAGGAAAATAAAAGGCAAATATTCTTAACTATGTATCCATCAGCATATAGTGGCACTAGAAAAAAACTGCTAGCTTTTTTTTTGTTGTGCTACACTTAAACCCAGACTCCAATGCACTATGAGGCATGAATGTCACAAGGTGGAATAAAATAAATTCTTATTAACTAGGCTTTAGTAATTAAGGATAATTAAAGGACACGTTCTAGGGTGTCAGTGTCTATGCAGAATGGCAGGAGACTCAACTTCCTACACAGGAACCAGAGTCTGTTCAGATTGCTGGAGAAAGGATGGGAGTTAACTAGAATATGCAAATTATGGGCTTGCCAACAAACTCATCTCTGAAGCTTCTGATGGAGAGGGCCATGTGGACAAAGGGAGACAGACAGGAAAGCTTCAGGGAGGGATGAAAAAGATTCCCCCTTCCTGGGACTTAGGGTCTGAGCATTCCAAGCAAGAAATTAAAATACAACACAGAGCAAGCTACTGATTGCCTGATACAGCGATCACTCACTTTTTATTTTAATGTAATCAACACAAATTATGTGAGATTTAAATAGTGAAAGGAAGCTGGGGAAACGGTTGCTGTTTTGTTTCTATGGTGCCTTTTTTCCCTAGTAGCTTTTAGAATGACAGAGTATTTTTTTCTTTTTTAATCATCTATTGTGTCTTGATTACCAAGGAACAGAGAAAATGAGTAAATAAGGCCAAATGACTCGATTGACTTGTCTGCAAGAACAACTTCAAAAGTTTATAGTTTCACATCCTGGCCTTGACTAAAATCAAGGCGCAGTATGGTGCTGTGTGCTTAGCTTAAGTATGTGATGAAATCAGGCGTGACTGCTTATCCTGGACACGTGGACAGCTGGGAACAAAGCTTTTTATTTACTAAATCCTTGCAACTCTATGCTCAGTTGCCATATCCTAGATTTTGGCTGATGGAAGGAATGTCTCTGTGAGTTTCTTAGTAGAAGTCCTTATGACAAGGCTTTCTAGAATAAGAGCATCATCTCTGAGTTGCTGGTAGCTAACAGTTGCTGACTGCAAGAGAGACTCTCTGTAGTCTCCAAAGATTTAAGCATCAGCTTTGCACAAAGCTGACCACAAAATGGATGGCAGTTAGAATGCCTCAGATGAAAGAACACACAGCATCTTGATACAGATTGAGCCTCATCCCTGGCTCCGCTGTGCTACAGTTTTGTGACTACAAGTGAATGAGCTGCAGGTGGAGAAGTTGGTTGAGTGAAGGACAGATAGCATCCTAATCTTTCTGACAGCATCTCCTGTGGACCCTATACAAGGTCCAGGCCAAGATCTTTATTTTTTCCCCTTATGCATAAAACCTGGTAGGTGTTCTCTAAACGTTTGCTAAAGAAGAAAGGATCATAACAAAGACTGCAACCAAAGTCTCCAAAGCAAGCACATGCCAAAGTTTCCCCTCTGCAGGTATGAATTTCCAACATATGAATAAGTAAAATATTTGATCTTTCTTCAGTTCTGGAAAATGTAATTACTCTACTTTCCCATAAAGACAGGCTGAGGTGTTTGCTTTCTCATCCTGCTCTCATGTTCAGTGGCAGAAAAGAGAAATGGCCGAGAAGGCCATTGCATCCACAGCTCTTAGATCATCTTTACAAAGGTTTTGAAACCTCCTTTTCCTTCTAAGAGAAAAGACTGTTAGGCAAAGCCTTAAGAGCCTAACCCCAGACCTCATGCTTGGGAGAATCAGGTATTCAAAGTTAGCCTCATCTGGATAGCAAGTTGCAGACCAGCCTGGACTACATAAGACCTTGTCTCAAACAAGAGCGACAATGGCTCAATGGCTGCCAAAGATAACTGCCACACGACTATGACCTTGTTCCTCCTTGCTTACCACCCCCACCATGGCCCATGAAGGCCAGGACAACCAGCCTCTTTCTATTTCTAGAATTCAGACGGCCTCATTGTATGTCATGTTGTCCTAGGCCTCTGTGCCCTTAAATGAATGTTGAAGACTGTCTTTCTGTCTATCTGGTTCCCAGTCAGGTGGCTTCTCTCTGATGCCTTGCTTCTAGGAAGTAGTCTCTGTGTTATAACTTGCAAGCTGTGTGTGCAGCCAGCTACCCCCTATCTATTTTCACTATTACACTGTGACACTCTTCAAGATCACAGTTTTACTCACACTGCACCTGTAGAGCCTGGAGCACCTGGCGCATGGTAGGCTCTGAGTAAATTCTCTATGACATGAGAGGGCACAGACGGCTAGAAGGGGGTAGGTCTCTGATAAGTGTGGGCAAAGATTCTGAAGTCCCTCATGCTAAGTAGGGTGTCGGGGGAAGAAATGTGGGTAGGAAGGAATGTCTGTAACCTCTTGTACAGTCCAAGAAGTAGAAATCAGGACAAGATTAACGTCAGAAGCAGCTACTTAGAATGGAAAGTTGGGGCGGGGGGCGAGGATTATAAACAAATGACTCTATCCATACTGGCAGAGTCTACAGGAGTTGAGTGTCCTCTCTCTGGCTCCATGTCCTGTTAGTCCAGTCTCCTAAGACTAATTTCTAATTAAGTGGCATCCCCACCCCTCTACACAGACACCCTCTCTTTGGCCTCAGTGGCTGTGCTTCTATTGTCCTTTTTGTCCAACTGTCCAAACTCCAATGGTGACCCAAGACCTAACTCAGATATCACTTCTTCCATAAGACCTTGATCCTCCAAAGAGAGACAGTTCTACCCTCCTGGGTTTGAATGTACTGTAGGAGGGCTACGACTTCAGTTGAAGTGCTCTGCTCGCCTCTGTACTCTTGATGACACCATCTCTACTCCACAGATGACGTATCTGGTGCTTCAGCTAGGCCGTGAAGCTGAGCAGAGGCATCAACTGGACTGTCTATGTCAGAGACCAATTAGCACCAGGTCAAATTCTTATCTCAAGACTTAATTTACTCACTTTGACCTAGTCTCATATGAAGGAAGGAATGACAACAACCTGACAGATTGAAAACTAAACAAGCGGGGCTGGAGAGATGGCTCAGTGGTTAAGAGCTCTGACTGCTCTTCCAGAGGTTCTGAGTTCAATTCCTAGCAACCACATGGTGGCTCACAACCATTTGTAATGAGATCTGTAATGATGCCCTCTTCTGGTATCTCTGAAGGTAGCTACAACATATTCACATACATTAAAAAAAAAATCTTTAAAAAAAGGAACTAATTCTTAAGAAAAAAGAAAAAAGAAAACTAAACATGTAAAACATATGTATCTACACACACATGTATACATTTGGAGACATATATACATTTATATGTATATATAATATATATATATATGTATTTTATATATATATATATGTATTATACATACATACACACATACACACACACACATATGGAAAGAGATAGACAGACATAGAGAGAGAGTGGAGAGGGTGAGTACCTCAGAGCCTGGCACAGAGTTAGTATTCAGTAAATTACCCCCCACTCTCCAATCCTATACATCTACTTGTATGCTTAGTTTTGACTCTGCTAAACCATGACTTAGTGTGTCCGGGGTCCCCACTGGTCTGTTTCTGCCCTTCATATTTATCACAAGACCCTCTACAGAAGGAGGTCCTATAACCATTTGCATCCCCTTTCCAATGCCCAGACTCATCTCTCTAGGGACTAGCAGAGTTCTGTCAAACATGGAGGCTACTGGCTCTCAAGCAAAAGCATTTCCTACCAGGCTGAGTCAGAATCACTCAACACTGGTAGCAGTCCTCTGCAGCACCCTCCGCCCTCCGGCACACTGTCAATACAGAAAGTATCAACAGGGCCACAGCCTGAGCAAGGAAGGTGCTGAGAAAGGGTTTTAGCATACGTGGGTGTGACTCCAAGATAAAAGATCTTAGGAAAGTCATTTCATCTCTGAACTCAGCTTTCTTATTTACAAAAAGGATGACTCTTGAATAGCAGAGGACCAAAGGCAGGCACAAGACAGAAGCTCAGAACATGGCAGATGAATGGGAAAATGATCAGTCACTAAAGGACATGTTCAGTATTACAGAATCAGGAAAGTAAAGGACAAAATCCAACAAAACAGACCACCAACAAAAAGCCTTATGTTGTTTCCTTGGAGAGCAGAGGGCCTCTAGTGCTTTTAATTTAAGATGTTGTGGGGGGATCACTTCATTGCAAATTTTAGTCGGCTCCACTCCCGATGTTGGCAATTTACATCTCATTACAACAAATGCTTCAGATTGCTGTTTTGCTTTTTAAAATTTCTGAGGCATTGTTCTGCCTCAAACACATGTGACCAAATTAGCCACAATAATAAGCACTTGTGCTGGGAGACAACACTGTACGTTCTGGCGCAGATATTTTAGGTAACAAAGGAACTTTTTTCATTTTGTGGGAAGAGTAGAAAGAAAAAAGAAAGGCCTTTTGATCCACTGGCATTCAGGTAGTGACACACACTTGAGGTTTATTTTGGGGAAACTACACCTTCCATGGAGAAAAAAACCTCAGCCAAGTAAAGAAAGCCCTTTCAAAGGACACAAAAGGCAGTACCTCCTTCTTCAGTCATTCATGAACCCAGTCACCACACAAGCTGACACACATCCCACACAAACCCCCTCACCACACACTCTCCATAAGAGACATTGAGATTCTGGAACAAATAGGAAATATTTCAGCTGTTTGGAAGTTTGTAATTATGCACGTGAAACACTACAATGTGATACACAGAGGTGATGGGTGCACAGTGGAGCCAGGGGACAAGACATGGTCTAAATCCCATGTCCTAGATCCTCTACCTCTCTAAGCCCTGGCGATTCATCTTGTAAAATGAGGACTGAGCCACAGAGGAAAACAGTCTGCTTGTTGGAACAACAAAGAGGTGAAATTGTACGGCCTTACTTTTAACTCTGAAAAGTTGTCACTTGACGTGATTTCAAGGAGCTCTAGAGGTCACCTGTGTCTCCAAATCCTATACATGTTTGGACATGTTAGATTTC